CACACACACACACACACACACACATATATATATATAAAGCTCGATACCATAGAGCCCCCCCCTCACACACACACACCCACATACCCATACACACACACATAACAAATCCCAATTTAACCCCTGGGCATGATCCTGCATAAAATAAATTATCCAGATGTGGAATGGTGGAAGTGCGAGAATCAGTGAATTCTTGAGAATGTAACAAATTTTTTAAATAACTTTTTGGAAAACTTTGTGAACATTAAAGCGTGCGAGTTTGGTCTTCTACTAAGTAAAATTGACTTTATTAATTTAATCGCTGCTGTTAACAGGTGGAACAAACATTTTGGTCATGACTCCAATAGTATCTGGCCTGGGTGGAGGGGTACATGTTGGATGGAAACCAAGGCAACTGGACGCTGAACCGCCCCTTTTTGCACTTTCTCTGAATGAAATCTCTTCAGCGTGCACGAAGCTGAGCGCGCAATATGTAAACACGTGGCACTGATTGCGTTCCACGTTTCTTTTAAGTTTTGGACAGTTTGCGTCTGTTCCACAAGGACATCAAACATGTCAGAAGAGGAAGAAACGGCGTTTTCCGAAGACCCCAGGGTGCAGTATTTAGGCGAGATACTCTGCCGCATGCTCAAACTCAAAACTGATGCGTGGGAAAAATTTGTCAATGTTGAAAAAAATAAAATGCTTTTTACAACGTTTTTCGAAGCGCGTATTAGACTGTTATTTTTCAGCGTGACAGCGTCCAGTGCTCCAACTGTTTCTCCAGAGGTAAGTGAGCAAAAAGGCCTTGTGTTTACATATAGGCCTGTTGAATGCATGCAAAATCATAGACCACCACAGGTGTGTTCCTTTAATACTATACAGCAACAATAACCCGTTGTTTTATGTGTACACTTTAGGTTTGTAATCTCTCTAAAGACAAGAAAGTTTACATTCTCAGAAAAGGAAATTCCCCCATCCTGCCAGAAACCTGTAGGAGTTCTTTACTCTTTGGGGTGCTGTCACCCTCCTTTCTGCCACAGCTGTTAGACACCATGGAGAAGGTAATGAACACTTATAGACTCCAAAGTCCACAACTGTTTGATTTGCTGTCAAAAAAGTAAATAAAATACACAACAGAACTGAATATTAGCAGGAACGCCCTCCTTTTCTTTTCTTTTCTTTTCTTTATTGAGCAGAAGTGAATAGACGTATACAATTTGAACATATAATTTACAGTGTTAAACACTGGTGTTATGCATGCAGTTGAGTCCTTGGTCATCAGCCTGTAAAAATGCCTGTAAAATTTGTCAATATTTTGCATCAAGGTCTGTCTGCCGCTTCTGTTGAACAAGAAGAATCACCAAATGTGGCCGAATATAATATCACAGGATGTGACGCAACACATAGAGAATTTGCAAAGCAAGGTCACCGTGGTGAGGGGACAGTATAATGGCAAAACCGTCCTTCCTGTTCCTGCCATCAGAGAATGGATAGAGCTGTGTCAAGAGACAACGATCACACTGTATGAATGTTTTTTTGTTTGTTTGGGAATAACATACAACACCATTCAATGGTTTGGAGTCAGTACGTTTTTTTTTTGGAAGATATTTCTACTTTTATATAGCAAGGATGCATTGAATTGATCAAAAGTGGCAGTAAAGATGTGCATTTTCATATATAAAATATAAGATAAAATATAAATGATAAATATTATTAACATTGATAATAAAAAAATGTTTCTTGAACACTAAGTACTGCATGCTGAAAATTCTGATATGACATAAAAGGAATAAATAAATCATGTTAAAATATATTAAAATAGAAAACAATTATTTTAAATTGTAACAATGTTTCACAATATTACTGTTTTTAATGTATTTTTAATTAAATAAACACAGCCTTGGCTAGCATAAGAGACTTTCAAAAACATTTAAAAAAAATCTTACCAACCAAACTAAATCAGACTTTCAAACACTATTTCTAAAAACCTAATTCTGTCTAAAATCTTAGTTTTGACTTAAGATTAACTAATATGTTGTATTTTTTTCTGGTTATTGTCTTGTAGTCTGACTCACTTATTAATCCTCATAGAGTAAGATTAAAAAGCATGAAGTGTCTTCGTTTTGACTAAAACAACAATCAATTTCTAATTTTCAAACAAGGCAAGACAGTCGCAACAGAGCCATGATACATGCAATTGAGTCCATGGTCATCAGCTGGATGCACATGATCCATAAAGTCTTAAGAGCAGATTCTGCTGACTTGATTGTGACAGGATTGAACCCTGGACCAAAAGCTGAACTTGACTACTGGAGATCCAGGAAAACGAACATGCAGAGTATTCATGAACAGGTTCGTCCAGAAACAAACATTTCATGGTGTATAAGCAAGCAGAAATGTTTGATAGTGTACTAAATCTCTGTAAATCTCAGCTACAGAATCCTTGTGTTCAGAAAATGATGAGGATTCTGGAAATTATAGACAGCAGTTATTTCCCATCATTCAAAGCTCTGACAGAGGCTGTTTTTGATGGTAAGGCACGTGATTTTCCCAATACATTTAATTAATAATACAGTTGAGTTTTCTACTGTTCTTCCTACTACATAATACCATTCTGTTAATATTTTGCCTAGTTATCAATTATGTGTATTTGTCTCTCAGCTTTGCAGGAAGCCAGAGCTATAGATCTTCACCTTCAACCTCTTAGATCATTGCTGTCTCAACTGGAGGAGGATGAGTTCTCATCCTTCCATACACTCATTCCACCAGTCTTTCATCTTATATTTCTGGTCTGGACTCACTGTTCATTCTATCGTTCACCTGCTCGCATCGTTGCTCTGCTGCAGGAGCTCTGCAACCTTTTCATTCGGCAGGTATGACATATGTGACAATCTTCTAATTTATGCTTAGTGTGTGTTATTTGAAAATGTTCGGTTGCCAAATCAGTCATGTGGTGCGACGAACATGCAGAAACCCGCTCATAACTGTGTCAAGGTGAACAAGTCTCTTAAGATAACAGATAATTTAGCCTTTTATGACAAGGCAAGGTTAGTTTAGGTTGTAAAATGTCACGTGGAGCGACTCCTCCAAAAATGAAATTATATTTCTGAATTAATAATTCATGATATTTGGAAAAAAAATTAAAAACGAAACATTTGAAAATAATGATACACTCACATGTATTCAAGGTCTAAGAAAAACATAAATTTTACATAGTTTTACGTAGTACATTTTACTTGATGGTTACACCACATGACTAAAGAGTCATTCAATCATATAAAATCAACATGAATACAAAAAATACATTTCCTGGAACTAGATTTTTATCATGTTTTTCCTTTCCTTTTGTCATGGACACCCATACCCCCCAAAAATTATTAGTAAAATATGTTTTAAATCGATTTCAAAATATACAAAAAAATGTCCAAAAATATATTTGCTAAAATATGTTTCAAAATAAATGTGCTTAAATATATATATATATATATATATATATATATTTGGGCATTATTTTGTATGTCTTGTTTGTGTTTTCTTTTGCTCCTGAAATACATTTTGAAATATATTTCAATATGTTATATGAATGTTATTATATGAAGGTTGACATGAAATATTTTTTCAATTTTAAAATATATGTATTTATTTATTTTATTTTATTGCTATTTTTGTTCACCGTATGGGCAGTCCTATGCGCAATTTAACCATGAATCAATCAATTAAAAATCTTTTACTATTTATCTATTTGGGAGAGCAGCCATGTATTAATTGTAAGTTCTATTCAGGGAAATGGAGAGTAGAATTAGAATAGAGATTAAAATTTTGTTCTTGTAACCAAAACGTCAATCTTTGCTCCATCTAGGCCACTTCATATCTCCGTGCAGAGCAGCTGCTGAGAGCAGAGACTGAAGATGGTTTGGAGAAGTTACAGACTGTGGTGGGAGTTTTCAGGTGTGTCAGGGAAACGGTCAAGACATACAGACAGAAGGTGGCTGCGTTGGCCAGTCATTATTGTACACCAAAGTGCTGGGATTTCCCTTCAGCTCTTGTTTTTACTCGATTTGATGGCTTCTTGGCTCGTGTTTTACAGTTGAAGGTAAGTAGTACATCTTTTGAAGGGATCATATACACTTTCACTTTCAGCCACAATTCAGTTTTATTTATGTGAGTAATAATGTTCTTTTTACTTAAATTTTTGTGAGACCGTAACATTTTGAAAAATGATTGTTTTCCAGGCCCTTTTCTCCACTATGCTGGAGTTCCAAAGGTTGGAGAAGCTGGTTTTTGGAGGTCTCAGAGGAAGGGTTTACACTGAGCAGGTCTCTCGAATATATGCAGAGTTTCTTCAGCTTTGCAAAGCCATAAAGGATCAAGAATACAATCCACTCGATTTGACTTCTCTGGTATGGTTACATCATGGAGTGTATTTCTTGCTTGGGATATATTAGAATCAGCCATAAGATAACAACAAGTCATATAGAAACACATATTTTTAATGGTAGCTTAAAGTGCCCCTATTATGGATTTTTGAAAATTACCTTTCATGCAGTGTGTAACATAGCTCTAAGTGAATGAAAGCATCCTGCAAAGTTTTAAATCTGAAAGTGCACTGTATATAAAGTCATTGTCTCTCAAAAGAAAGAGTCGACTCTGAATCATTTCAACGAGTCATTTTTAAAACGAATCCCAAGCCGTTTCATGTTGACGTCAACATGAAACATTAGCATATTGCCCGCCCACTTGTTGTGCACGCAGACCTGGGAAAACTTGACTTCTCGCGTTGGTTTGAATGAAAATGCAAATTCATTCTTTGCCATTATAGGTGCCGCTTTTGGAGCGGTAAAATAGCTGTTTCCCCGGTAACGCTGCACACAAAGCAGCACTGCCTCACAAACCCTGCTTTATCAGGCATTACAGGCATGATGAAATGGAAATGAAATTGACCAATCGGACCAATCACTGCAGAATAGTGTCACGCAAAGGAGGGGTTTAGAAAAATGAATCATTGAGCGAATCGTTTGGGAGTCGTTGAGCAAATAAGGTAAAAAAATAAATGCATATTATAAGAAAATGAAAGTTTTTTTGACCTTGCATGCATGTCAACCTGTTGTTGGGGACTCCCTAAAGCAAAATATGAACCTTTCATAACCCATAATAGGGGCACTTTAAACAACTTGATGTCTGATAATATGATAATAATATAGAAACACATATTTTTAATGGTAGCTTAAAGTGCCCCTATTATGGATTTTTGAAAATTACCTTTCATGCAGTGTGTAACATAGCTCTAAGTGAATGAAAGCATCCTGCAAAGTTTTAAATCTGAAAGTGCACTGTATATAAAGTCATTGTCTCTCAAAAGAAAGAGTCGACTCTGAATCATTTCAACGAGTCATTTTTAAAACGAATCCCAAGCCGTTTCATGTTGACGTCAACATGAAACATTAGCATATTGCCCGCCCACTTGTTGTGCACGCAGACCTGGGAAAACTTGACTTCTCGCGTTGGTTTGAATGAAAATGCAAATTCATTCTTTGCCATTATAGGTGCCGCTTTTGGAGCGGTAAAATAGCTGTTTCCCCGGTAACGCTGCACACAAAGCAGCACTGCCTCACAAACCCTGCTTTATCAGGCATTACAGGCATGATGAAATGGAAATGAAATTGACCAATCGGACCAATCACTGCAGAATAGTGTCACGCAAAGGAGGGGTTTAGAAAAATGAATCATTGAGCGAATCGTTTGGGAGTCGTTGAGCAAATAAGGTAAAAAAATAAATGCATATTATAAGAAAATGAAAGTTTTTTTGACCTTGCATGCATGTCAACCTGTTGTTGGGGACTCCCAAAACCAAAAGATGAACCTTTCATAAACCATAATAGGGGCACTTTAAACAAAACAACCGTTTTTAACACTGATGATAAGACATGTTTCTTGAGCTCTGATTTATAATGATTTATAAAGAACAGGGAAGAAAGACAGAAAAAGTGACACTGAAGAGTTAATGCTCAAAATTCAGCTTTGCCATCACAGGAATAAATATATTTTTACTAAAAAAAAAAAAAGAAGGAAAAGGTTGTTTTAAATTGCTGTAATATTTTACAGAATTGCTGTTTTTACTATATCTTTGATCAGATAAATTTGGCCTTGCAGCATAAGAGACTTTTAAAAAATCTAACTTTGAAGCACTAACACGCTTGCGTCGATGGATGAAGCGAGTGAATGGAATTGTGGGAAATGTAGTCCACAGTCAATCCCCGAACATTATCGCGAGGTCGTTACGATGACGTCCAACGTTTCATGTTGACGTCAACATGAAACATTAGCATATTGCCCGCCCACTTGTTGTGCACGCAGACCTGGGAAAACTTGACTTCTCGCGTTGGTTTGAATGAAAATGCAAATTCATTCTTTGCCATTATAGGTGCCGCTTTTGGAGCGGTAAAATAGCTGTTTCCCCGGTAACAAAAAAATAAATGCATATTATAAGAAAATGAAAGTTTTTTTGACCTTGCATGCATGTCAACCTGTTGTTGGGGACTCCCTAAAGCAAAATATGAACCTTTCATAACCCATAATAGGGGCACTTTAAACAACTTGATGTCTGATAATATGATAATAATGCCTCACTGAATATGTCAGCGTAGATAATGTGGTATATGAGTGTTTGGTACAATAGCAGATATAACTCTCACTGTTTTTTATAGTTGCCATAGTTCAGTTATTTATGGAGTTCCTGGGGCTTTCTTGTAAATATAGGGTATGTTTGGATACAACATGCCTGATATTTGGCAACCTTCTCAAAGGCTTAATTGTTCCCATAAATCCTAATTTTTGTTCTGTTTGTCATGTAGGCCTAAATGTTTTTGGTAACACCTTTATAGTAATGTTTAAAACCTAATATGTCATTATGAAAAATTATTTAAATATCAGCCTATATTGTTCAGCACATTGTTAATCTAATACACATGATTGTAAAGGAATTAATTATACTTTATATGAATTGTTAAAACTTTTTTGACCAGGATAGAATATTATATTCAGTATTTAACTTAGGAAACACATTTTAAATAATTAATTTTCTTAAATTTTACATTTCGTGTAAAGGATTTCGAAAAAGACTTTTCAAGTTTCCAAGAAAGAGTTGCAGACTTTGATCGACAGCTGTCCAGTATTTTGTGCCTTGCCTTTCAAGATTGTTCAGGATTGGAATCAGTTTTCAAAGTAAGCAATTCTGGTGAGACAGATTTAGTTCAAATGAAAAAGCATACAGTGCCTTGCAAAAGTATTCATACCCCTTCATTTTTTATTATTTTTTTTACACGTTTTGTTGTATTTAAAATAGAAGTTATTTAAAGCAGTTTAACATAAGGCTGCAACATAACAAAATGAGAAAAAAAATGAAGGGGTATGAATACTTCCGCAAGGCACTGTAAAATAGCCAAACCTATATAACCTTTTAATCTGTATGTTTGAAGCTGGTTGCTGTGCTCAAACCCCTTTTGGAAAGAGACATCATAAAGGAAATGTTTATTCCTAATTTCTCCAAAGTGATTCAGCTTTTTGCAGATGAGCTGGACAGATGCAAACACCTGTTTGATTCTCATCTTGAGCAGGTAAAGTAGTTGTTTTTCAACAGATTTTTGTTCTTGTACAAAGAGGACCTTGTTTAATTCCTCATTTAATTCCAGAAAAAGAGGAACAAACTGCATTTGAGCAAGAACATGCCTGCTATGACAGGTTGTCTGAAGTGGGCAAAAATGCTTAGAGACAGAATTCAAATCCCTTGGAACAACTTTCAGTTTGTTCTGGATATGTAAGTGTTTTAAATTCTATTGAGATTGTTGTAGTTTTCTCTTTTCTTTAATGCAAATAATGAAAGATGATGGTGCACTTATATTACAGGAGTATCGAAGGAGCGGAAATGGAACTGGTCTATCTTAAGTACCTGGAGATGTCCTCTCATTTAGATGAGTATGAGAATCAGGTCTATTTGAGCTGGTGTGGCAATATTAACCAGGTCTGCCAGATGAACCTGGATCAGCCCCTAATCAAAAGAGATCCCAGCACTGACCTGCTGTCAGTAAACGTCAATCAAGAGGTGAAGAACATAAATGTAGTGTGTTTAAAATCTATAACAGCATAAGGCATTCATTTAAATTGTTAAAGCGACTAATTTTGAGGAATCTGTCAGTGTATTCATTTGCATAATACTGAATTTTTTCACCTTAGTTGATTGCTGTGCTCAAGGACGTGAAACACCTGGAAATCCTTAATCAGACGAACATCCCTTCTGCTGCTATGAAGGTGTATGAAAATAGAAAGATGTTCTTTAAGGTTAGGAAATGCTTAGTTTGTTTGGTATCAGTTAAATTTGGTTTTTATATTCTATGGCATGAATATGAGTACTTTACCTGATCTCCATTAGAACCTTGGGAGCCTACATTTACTGGTGCAGTGGTATAACAAGGTGAAACAGACAACTCTTGAAGTGGAGTCTCCTCTTATGAAAGAGGAGATGGAGACTGTTGACCAGCAAATCCATCGAGCAGAAACTGAGCTTACATGGCAAGACCAGAACTGCTGGAACTACATCTGCACACTGAAGGACACTGTCTACCGGCTGGAGAGAAGACTACAAACAACTAAAGACAATATTGAGATGATGGAAGTTCTGATGAATGGATGGAGCAAACAGCCAATGTTCTGCAGAAAAGACCATAAGAAAGAATCGTCACTACAACTGGATGATAAAGCAGGAAGAATGGCAAAATGCTACAGCAATCTCAGGAAAGATGGAGAAACTATCCATAACTTGTTACAGGTGTGGAAGTGTCTTTTTATAGATTTTTTTGCTACATCATATTTCTCTTAACATTCCTGTTTTCTTGTTTCTTTCCCAGGAGAACGTGATCCTTTTTGCAGCGGATAGTTCTTCAGATGCATGGAAGGCCTACTTGGAGTATGTAGATGACATGGTGGTGGAGGGGTTTTTCAGTGCTGTCTCAACTTCTCTGGAGTTTTTCATTGAGAATATGGAGGGGTCAGTGAGGCAGGCTCCCTTGTTTGAGGCTCAAATGCTACTGATGGGATCCGAGATTAAGTTTAAACCGTCTCTGGATCGAGATGGTGGCGATGGACTTTATGAATTGGTGGAAGAATTACTAGGAGTTGTGTTCAAGATGTCTGCTCAGGTGAAGAGGGTGGCACCTCACCTAAGCGTGAAGGACTACCAGGTATTCACAGTTAATTAATTTAGAGTGGCTTCCAAATATCTGAGGTCACATTGAAAATATGCGATTCAAAATAAAATTGATACCTGGAAATATATTTATTTTTGTGCATTTAGCAGACACTTTTATCCAAAATGTGACCCTGGACCACAAAACCAGTCTTAAGTCGCTGGGGTATATTTGTAGCAATAGCCAAAAATACATTGTATGGGTCAAAATGATTGATTTTTCTTTTATGCCAAAAATCATTAGGATATTAAGTAAAGATCATGTTCCATGAAGATATTTTGTAAATTTCCTACCATAAATATATCAAAACTTAATTTTTGATTAGTAATATGCATTGCTAAGAACTTCATTTGGACAACTTTAAAGGCGATTTTCTCAATATTTAGATTTTTTTGCACCCTCAGATTCCAGATTTTCAAATAGTTGTATCTCGGCCAAATATTGTCGTATCCTAACAAACCACACATCAATGGAAAGCTTATTTATTCAGCGGTCAGATGATGTGTACATCTCAATTTCGAATAATTGACCCTTATGACTGGTTTTGTGGTCCAGGGTCACAAATGACTTACAATAGAGGCGCATAAGTGATTTGAAACAGAGCCAAACATATTCACAGTATGCAAAGTTTTACAGAAAGCTAGATTAGGAAACAAGCTGTAGCAGAGGAGAAACGGAGAGAAGAGAAAGAAGAGGATTTTTTTCTTTTTTTTGCAGTTGCTTTGTTTTAAGTTTGTGGAGTGATGACGGAAAAGGTGTGTCTTCAGCTTTTTTGAAAGTTTCTATGGTTTCAGCAGTTCAGGTGGAGGTAAACTGTTCATTCTAACAGAGAGGAGTGGAGAGGGTGAAGGTTTTGGAAAGTGACTTGGTGCCTCATTGTGAAGGAACAACAAGGCACTCGTTCAGTGACTATAACTGGCTGGGAGGAATAAATAGGGTTCATACCAATTTGAAACATGAATGAATTAGAAATTGTGCCATAAACAGTATGCCAGGTCGAGTGCATGCTGCCTTTATAGAAAAAAGGGGCATGTAACACATTTTGAGGAATTATTATTATTATTTTAGTTAAAATTATTATTTTTTTAATATAAAAAATGGATAAATATTACAAATAAATATAAAATAAATTAATATAACATATTGGTTACATATATTAATTGGTACACTTATTTTTACTAAGTGATCTCAGACATTTGTATCCCTGCTCTCTCTCTTTATTTCTGATTTTGCAGTAGTTTTTTTGGTACATATACAAATACTATTTCATATTTTCCTTCATACGTTGTTTAGGCTGACATCGAGGACATGTTAGACCTAATAGATCTCCGACATGAAGTGATGGAGAAAGTTGATGAAGTCATGAAGAAAGCCTTGCAATACCAGGACACACTTATCCGCTACAGTCCCCTGTGGCTTGATGACAGGGTTGAATTTCTCAGGCAGTTCCTCCTCTATGGTCATGCACTGACAGCTGAAGAGGTGGAAGCCTATGGAGAAGATGCATTTCCAGAAAATCCTCCCACCACAACACAATTCAAGGAACAGGTGAAACTATACAGCTTTTAATGTTTCTTCTTGTATATCAGGTTTTGAACACAGTATTAATTCCGCATTAAATACATCTAAATGGATATAGATACCTGTTTTCCGGTAGTAGTAAGAAACGTTTGTCATATTATTAGTAAGTTGTCTCCTTTCACAACAGATGACTCATTATGAAGAAGTGTATGCAGAGGTCAGCCGTTTGGAGGACTGGCAGGTGCTTGACGGTTGGTTTAGAGTGGATATCCGTTCGTTCAAGATGAGTCTTTTAAACATAATCAAAAAATGGAGCTGGATGTTTAAAGAGCACCTGATGTCTTATGTTACCGGCAGGTGAGAGCCCCTTCCGTAATTACCTAGAAAAATCACATTTTAAAGGGGTCATATGATGCAATTTCAAATTTTCCTTTCTCTTTGTAGTGTTACAAGCTGTTCGTGCATAGATAAGATCCCTAAAGTTGCAAAGACTAAAGTCTCAAACTCAAAGAGATATTCTTTATAAAAGTTAAGACTTGTCCACGCCCTCCACGAGGACTGTTTCCTGGGAGAGTAGCCTACAATGCTTCTGTGCACAAAGGCTGTTTCAATAAAGTTGGGCAGTTCCAACTTTGCAAGGACAGTCTGGAGCTTCTGACTCACAGCCTGTAAGTACATTTTTTATATTTAAAGAATTTGCCACTGACGATTCAAACGCGAGTTTTGAGCAGTGTAGAGTAGCGCTTGTTGTTTGTCGTTTCTCCGATCACAAATGCAGACATGGTTTTATGTTTACGCTGCGCAATACGCAACGCAATGCGTAAAAAGACAGTACAAGTCATTATAATCAGTAATTATGCCTCGTTTGTAATGGGTTTTATTGGTGTTGTCTCGTCGTGCTGGGAGATGGCATCACAGTATGGTAAGGGGCGTAACATTTCCGTCACACGCTTGAGGTATTCAGCCAATCACAATTGCATTACACCAAATACACAACATAATGTTCTTTTTAGCAACGTCATATGACCCCTTTAATGTCCCAATTTTCCTCCAAACTCCAAATGCTTTTCTTAGTCAATAAAAGTAATCGATTTTTTGCTGGTTTGTGATCTTGGTTTTGTTCAGTATTGGTGAACTCGAGGATTTCATGCTCCGGGCGGAATCCAGGCTTAAAGAGCCGTTGTGCGGTGGAGACTACCAGGCTCTTGTGCAGGTGATGGGTTACCTGCTGGAGATCAGAGACAGGCAGACTAGTACAGACCAGCTTTTTGAGCCTGTCATTGATGTGGTCAATCTTCTGGAGCAGTATGGAGAAACCCTACCTGAGTGTGTTCACATGCAGCTTGAGGTGAGAGTATTTGACAGCTCTTAAGACTAACTATGAAACGGGAATTATGTAAAGAGACGGCCATTTTAAGGATGTCATCTTTGTGTAACTTTGTGTATGTTTTGTCATGACCTTTTTTTGTAAAGTTATGTCTGCTTTGCATCTACATTACCATTTAAAATTTTGGGGTCAAAATTTTTTTTTTTTTTGAGAGAGAGATATTCATTCAGCAAGGATGCCTTAAATGGATCAAAAGTCACAGTAAAGTTATTTTTACAAAAAAAAAAAAAATTCAAATAAATGCCAAGTTCTGTCATAAAACTCTTTCTGGCTGATGGGTCATTAATGCAAACTGATGATAATCACAGTATTAAACTACTTGGCACAAGCTGATTGGTTCATGGTGTATACGCAGCCAATAAGCTTGCTGCTTTACATTTAAATGGCTGGTTAGCATCCACTAGAGCATTTTGCAGTGCACTTTCAGATTTACTCTGAAACCCTCCACCTTCCCCAGCTCCACTTGTATAGATCTGCTACGGGTTATAATATACGCTACTTGTGCAGCAGCAGTATGTCTTCAATACTCACAGCACCGCATCAGTGTTTAACATTGTCATACCCATTACCATGCTAAAATCTTCAAAGAGTTATGATAGAAATGCTGTTCTTTTGAAATTTCTTTTCATCAAAGAACCTTGAAAAAAGTGTATCATGGTTTCTGAAAATTCAGGAATAAATTACATTTATTAGCAATATATTGAAATACAAGCCAGTTATTTTCAACTGTAACAACATTACTGTTTTACTGTATTTTAGATCAAATAAATGCAGCGTTGATGAGCATAAGAGACTTAAAAAAACAACAACTTACAAACCCAAACATTTTGAACGAGAGTGAAGTTATCCATTTACTTCACAATACAAATCTCGAAATTAATTTTAATTAAAATATATGAAAAATTAATATTTTTTCCCAAAAGTCTGAGACCACAAGTAAAAGTTTTTTTTCCCCAGCACAAATTATATAATCATTTGAATAATATTTTAAGTGAGAAGTCAATTTTATATATATATATATATATATATATATATATATATACATATACATACAGTATATATGATTATGATAGAAAATATTAGAAGATAATACTATTTAGCAAATTTCTACATGAATATCAGTCTTTCGTACTGTACATTGTATTATTGTGATGCCTAAATTCACTTGTAGGATTTAAAATGATTGATTAAAGTTTTTAGCATTGGCCATGTCATCTAAATAATTAGCAGTTTATTATTTTTCCCAGAATTTTAATATGCTTGCATTACTTGCATTACTAAAATGTTCTGGATGAAGAACGTTTACTCAACTGTAATGTATTTAACCGTATCAGGAGTTGCCAGAGAAGTGGAACAACATGAAGAAGTTGGCCTGGACATTGAAACATGAGGTTGCTCCTCTTCATACTGCAGAGGTGGCTGTTATCCGCAGGAAGTGTGTGGCCTTTGAGGTGAGGTTCTCATTTGCTGATGGCTTAATAGTGATTCAACTGTAAACTTTCAATTATTTAAGCAAAATGAAATGTTTTTAGGTTTAAAAGTCTGAAGGTTTTTATTGCAACTTAAGGATAAATATGCTTATGTTTTTGCTGATTCATGTCTCTTCACAGAAAAAGCTGAGTCAGTTTCGAGAAAGGTTTAAAAGAGAAGCTCCTCTCCAGTACAACACAGAGAAACCATATGCTCGCCTGGATAAAGTAACTGATTATTGATTCTAATTCAAACAAACCATCATACCACACAAGTAATTTTCATTCATTACATACATTGACCTTTTGTTTATGCTGTGCTTGTTAGTGTCACAGGGAGATGCTAGGTTTAGAGGAAGAAAACGCAGATCTCCAGGAGTCCTGTAAGCTGTTTGAAGTGAGCAGCCCTGATACTAAGCAGCTCAGGCTCTGTCAGAGAGACATTGCTGTTTTGAAACAGCTCTGGGATCTGCTGCTTTGCGCTCAGGTGGTGATTTCATTTTTACCCAAAATAAAATACTTGAGCTTTCAGTTTTGCTTGAAGTGTCCACTTAACTTAATGCTGTGTCCTCACAGTGCAGTATAGCAGAATGGACAGGAACAATATGGAGAGAGATCAATGTAGAACAAATGGAGACAGAGCTGAGGAGGTTTACAAAAGTAAGAATGCTTCTTTCAATGTCCTAGAAAGCACCAAAATGTATATTTTTTGGAAGGGTTTTTAGTACTTGTCTATCAGCTCTGTGTGTTTCTAACATCTGACTTCATGTCTGTCCAGGAAATGTGGGTTCTTGATAAAGAGGCCCGTGTTTGGGACGTGTATGTGAGTCTGGACTGTGTGCTCAGGGATCTGTTGGCTTCTCTGAGGGCTGTGACAGAGCTGCTGAACCCGGCCATGAGAGACAGACACTGGGCCCAGCTGGTCAGGACTACTCGGGTGAGAAAGAGGGTGGCAAATGTGCAATAGAAATGCTATTTATCTTAGAGACTGGAAAACATATTTACTGTACTGTATTTTATGAACTATTTCAAATGTGTAGATTAAACAAACCTTTACCACTCATGGTAAAATGTTAGTTTTAAACAATTAAAGTTTTTTTTTTTTTTTAGCAATTTTATTATTTACTTTATCTTTACATTATTCTAAGTCAGGTTTTTTTTTCTTTCCTTGAACATTTTTGAGGTTGATTAACTTCTTTTGTATGTAAAAAGTAGTGCTGTCAAACGATTAATCACGATTAATCGCATCCAAAATAAAAGTTTTTGTTTACATAATATATGAGTGTGTACTGTGTATATTTATTATGTATATATAAATACAAACACATGCATGTATATACTGAATGTGTGTGTATTTATATATACATAATAAATATACACAGTACACACTCATATATTATGTAAACAAAAACTTTTATTTTGGATGCGATTAATCATTCGACAGCACTAGTAAAAAACAACTTCAGCATTCTGCTAAACTTTTTATTTGTGTTCAGTTTACTGTAAAAATATATTAAAAAGGTATACATGAATCCTGCACACTGCTATAGCTTGCAAATAATATTTTAATACAACTTTCGGTCATGTGACTTTCATCAGACATTGTCTTGTTTTTCAGTAAAAATTTCTAAACATTTAAAAAAAATATACATTTACTTTCATTTTTACTTTTCATTCTTCATTTTATTACTTAATTCAAAATTCAAATTCAAAAAATCTGATTTTTTATATGAGATAGCCTCACAAAATGTTTGTTAAATTTTGCTGAAAACAACACTTACTATCATGTCATTTTGCTCCTTAAATATTTGTATATTGTTTTAGGGATGTTTACATATTTTTCTGGAAGACAACATCATAATAATAACAACAACAACAACAAAACAACTGTTATATTTTATTATTAATATTATTATTATCATTATTATTATTATTATTATTAGTGCAATACACCACATGCGGGCCAGTAAATGATGACAAGTGATATTTCTTTCATCGTTTTTTACTCATGTTCAATATTAGTTTTCACATGTTTTTATACTGTTCTCTTAGGTTGATTTCACTCTAACTGAAGAAACATTTCTTGAGGATTTACTGGCTTTGCAGCTGCACAGATATGAAGATGTGGTGCACAGTACAGTTGGGAGAGCAGTCAAAGAGATGTCCACTGAGAAGGTTCGATCTCTCACAAGACTTTATTTGCTTTGATACATTTCTGAAAATAAGAGTAATGATTTATTCATTTAACTTAAAGGTTTTGACTGAAATCAGCCAGATGTGGACACGGATGGAGTTTTCCTATGAAGAGCATTACCGTACCGCTGCACCAATGCTGAAATGCAGTGATGAACTTATTGAGAGTCTGGAGGACAGTCAGGTATGAATATCTCTGAAATGTCACATGGATTTAGCTGGATGGTTTGAACCAAATCTTACACTGATAGCATGCTCACTTAGCATATCAGAAAATGTTAACAAGCTGTTGCTTGGCAAAATAAGCTTGGTGCGGCCGGGGGCTTTATCTCCTTCTCTAAGACCGTCCCACTATGCCGAGAGAACGATCTTTAATTGTTAGCCGCCTGTATTCACACGTCTGATTTATAGAGACCACACATTGCTGGCTTTGTTATCACGCTGTATGTGTAGGGGCCAAAATCTAGCCAAACACAATAAGTCTGCCGTCTGTGCGAAACCGGCCCCCTTACACCCACATGTCTGAAAACATTAAAGACAACAGAAGGGCACACAACATGGACACAAAAACAACAGGCACATCGCACTGGAGAAACCAAAACTCAAATATTTTTTGGATTACTTTTTGCGAGCCTAACAAGAGTCAAGCCTCATCACCTCCAAATGTGATTTGAACTTTAGGCTGTAGACTATTCATCTTTTTAATGTTATTTTAATGTTTTAGTGTTGTTATCATTTTTAATATTTGTTTATTTTGCCATTATGAACACAGTAACAATACATCAACATCAAAAACAAATAAAAAGTTCAGACATAATTGCATGTAATACAATAGGAAATAAAGGTTTTAAAGGGGTCATATGATGCTTTTTTAAAGATCATTATTCTGTCAATTAAAATTCTAATTGTTTCTTTCTAAGATTAATTATTCTGTTTTATTCACACTAATTCCAGTGCTTATATTTTCTCTGATGGAAAAAAAAAATGTTCAGATACCTAAATGAATTGTTTGCCGTTTAAATAAATAAATAAAATAATTAACTAACTAACCTGTACACCGTAGACCAATCACAACAGACTAGGCCATCTGACCAATCAGAGCAGAGCAGGCTCACGGAAAGGAGGAGTTTAGAGAGACTGAATCTTTGAACTGCTTTGAACGAATCGTTTGAGAATCGCTGGAAAATGAGGTGATATTAAATGCATATTTTGAGAAAACGAAAGCGTTTTTTGACCTTGCATGCATGTAATCCTATTGTAGGAGACTCCCAAAACAATATTAGGAACCGTAAAAGTGGCATAATAGGGGCACTTTAAACAATATATATTCACTAAAAATGCATTTTCTTTTCTTTGGACTTTGTGTACAATTCCATTACCAAAAGTATAAGACACTATTTTAACTCATTTGGCTTTTCCAGTGATTCCAGTGAAGGCATATCTTAAAGCATACAATGGCATTTTAGAAAACTGTGGGCCGCTAATTTCTTGTGTCTTAATGGAAGCCTGAATCACGGACAGATGAGTGGGATCAGTTAAGGAGGACCAACTTAGGTTTTATAGATCATAAAAGATATATGATATAAGATAGATAAGATAACTTTATATAATATAGATTTATAACTATAAGAAACTGTACAAGAAACTGTTCAACCTGGTGGCTGCTGATAATATGCATCTCTATATATTTCTCTCTCAGGTGCAACTGCAGGTGTTGCTGCACAGTAAGCAGGCGGCGTTCTTCCATCGGCAGGTGTTGGAGCTACAGGCCCAGCTGACTCGGGCTGACTCAGTGCTGTTGCTGTGGCTGGAGGTGCAGAGGACCTGGGCTCACCTGGAGAGCATCTTCATGGGCTCCGAAGACATTCTCCACCAACTGCCAGACGAGGCACATCAGTTCAGCTCCATTGATTCTGACTTTAAGGTATGCTTGAATTCATCTCACATGCACTGATTACTGGTGTCCTGCATGGAAAGTTTTAAGGTTAAGGTATGTGATTTTTGTAAAGGTTTGTTGAACATAAAAGATATTCAGAATGATAAGTGTAGGGGTCAGTTGGTTTTTTGGTTAAGCTCATTTTGAAATGTTAATATGTAAAAAATATTCTATTGAAATTAAACTAAACATAACATGCAGTGCATAATAAAACCAAGATATGTCTTTTTTTCTGTACAGATTAATAAATTATTGTTATAAATTGTATAGTATGTAAGAGCAGTGACACAATGCCTTGCTCATGGGTTTAATTCCTAAGGACCACAAGTACTGATAAAATGTAACCTTGAAGTTGCAATGTAAAAAAAAATGCTGGTTTATATTAGTACTACAAGTAAAATAAGTTAATTATTAATATAATAATATTTATCTTATATTAAATAGTATTAAACATATATGTGACCCTGGACCACAAAACCAGTCATAAGTAGCACGGGTATATTTGTAGCAATAGCCAACAATACATTGTATGTGTCAAAATTATCGATTTTTCTTTTATGCCAGAAATCATTAGGATATTAAGTAGAAATCATGTTCCATGAAGATATTTTGTAAATTCCTATCGTAAATATATCAATACTTAATTTTTGATTATTAATATGCATTGCTTAGAACAGCGGTTCTCAATTCCAGTCCTCGCGTACCCCCGCTCTGCATGTTTTGCATGGCTCTCTTAGTTAACACACCTGATTCAGATCTCGTTAGAAGTGAGCTCCGTGCATGAACTGTGTTCCGATTGACATGGTCCCTACACAGTGTCCATTGCTTCCTACTCCCTGAGCAGGGGAAATCCGTTGAAGTTTACTTCACTTCGGAATATTCATTTACAGATTTGCGCTGCGCCGCTGCCTGCAGCGTCTTCACACACATACGAAACTTACTAGAGAAGCGTGAAGTGGGACATAATATACCTCTGTAAATAAATACAATTTAAATTCACGTCTCGCACACTTAAATGCCCTTTGTATGGAACATATACGCTCCATTCAAACTGGAATCATGGCGGAATATCCGGTAATGTCCACTTCGCAGGGCACTTACAGTCAAATATAACAAACGTCTGAAGCAATAAGAGAAACATACAAAATGTGCAGAGCGGGGGTACGCGAGGACTGGAATTGAGAACCGCTGGCTTAGAACATCATTTGGACAACTTTAATGGCGATTTTTCTCAAGTTTTGATTTTTTTTTTTTTCACCCTCAGATTTCAGGTTTTCAAATAGTTGTATCTCAGCCAAATATTGTCCTATCTTAGCAAAACATACATCAATGGGAATCGTATTTATTCAGCTTTCAGATGATGCATAAAACTCAATTTAAAAAAATTGACCCTTATGACTGGTTTTGTGGTCCAGGGTCACATTAAAAGTAAACTTGTACCAATTGCAGTGATGTTCGTTCCACTTTTGACCATTTTGAATTTGATTATTCATAGAGAAAATTGGTAAAATGGAGTGGAAAATAATTAATTTAATTAAATTAAGGCCCAGTTTAATATTAAAGTGTCTTTAACTACTACATGCTAATATTTAAATTATTTATTTGATACAGTGCACTTATTGTGTATGCACGTTTAAACATTGTAATTATATTTTAAAAAAAATACCTTCATGTAATTTCATCAGTAATTCATTTTTGACTCCTTAACCCTCCCTTAAACCTACCTATACCATTAAACCTTAACCATATCCCACTTAAATGGCAGCAAAAGTGTTTAGCAAGTATATTGTACCTAACAATACATTTAAAAAAAAATAAAAGTAGGACAAGGCATTATTTAAATTAAATTAAATTAAAGATGTTGTTATAATGATGAAAACATTGCAGTGTGCTTGCATTTGTCAAGTATGTAAATACTTGTATATATATTTACTTTTGTGTATTGATGTGTGAAGGACCTTATGTTCAAAAGTGGCAAAACAAAAAATGTAATTGCTGCCACCAACAAGCCCAATCTTCTTCCGATGCTTGAAGATCTGCAAAGGAGGTCTGTGAAAATTTAAGTTGACTCTTTTTAAGTAAACTCTTTTTAAGAACTTTGTTACACGGTTACACATTATCTTAAGAGAGATGCATAGAGAATTCTGCTGATTTCCTGTTGTCCATTCTAGACTGGCTGTATGTGAGAAGGCACTAGCCAAATACCTGGAGACCAAGAGAATGGCTTTCCCACGATTCTATTTCCTCTCTTCAGCAGACTTACTGGACATCCTTTCTAAAGGCAGACAGCCCAGACAGGTACTGCTGTATTAGTTAGCATTTAACTTTAACTTCATTTAACTTCATATAACAGTCTGTCTATTAGTTTGAATTAGTTTGAAAGTTTAATTCGTTTCAGATATCTCTAATTATACAGCTCATTTCAGTATCACAGTAATCCATAAACAGGTCATCTATAAAGTATGCAGTCTTTACTGGTATTTGTAATAATGGTGACCGAGATTCACAGAAATGTGTTTTACATTGTACCATATTTCCTCATCTTTCTTCTCATTTGCATACAGTAACCTTTATCTCCATGATTAAACTTTTTTTATCATCACAGTGATAATTCCAAGGGCAGCGCTTCGCTGTGAAATATCATTACGATAAAAAAATGAAAGTTCTACACTCGGATTGATTCTGACCCTGGCCACCTCCTTCTTTGAGCCGATCCTCCCACATATGTGCAGGTTTTCTCCTGAACCGTTCAACCAGAACAGGGTCAAAGTGCTTCATCTTGTTCTCATTGAACCTCGGTTATAATAAGAATTGCAAATACATCCACAATCATATCATTATCTACGGATATGCCCGTACTTAACCATACATAACTGTGCAGATTGATTCACAGAGGTGCTGTGTACAGTATATTGTTCTGTGAAAACAATGCTTTATGGTTTTTATTGCTTTTTAGGTTACCCGTCACCTGGGTAAGCTGTTTGACAGTATGACTGATCTGGAGTTTTCTGACAAGGAGGGGGAAAAGGCCACAGCAGCGGTGGGAATGTTCAGCAGAGACGGAGAATATGTTCCATTCTATTCACCGTGTGACTGCGTTGGGCCGGTAAAACCCACATTCAAATCAAACTGGCATCTAATTAAATCAAACTCGGATATTAAAGTTGTAACTTTTTTTTTTAAAGTTAAAGGCAAACTTAAAAAAAAAAAATTGTAAAAATATTTTATTAAATATGAATATAAATGTGTTAAAATGTTGATTATTTATCTATTAAATACAATCACATATTTTAATTAAATTTAATTAATTAATTAAATAATACAATTATTTAATTAAATATGGGTTTAATTAAAACTACATAAACACCAGTTACACTTTGAAATATACATACAGGTAGAAATAACTTTAATGTAAAAATTAGGATATCCCAGCCAACATGGTATTATATAGGAAAAAAAAAAGAAAAAAGATTATTTCTTACGGAGTGAGCTGTTTCCTGTCAGGTTGAGCTCTGGTTGAAGTGTCTGGAGGATGTGATGAGGGAGGGAATGAGGAGGCACATAGCCGAGGCCGTTGTCGTATATGAGGAACGTTCGCGGGAACATTGGGTCTTGGAGCTGCCGGCTCAGGTGGTTCTCACCGCCTCTCAGATCTGGTGGTCCGCTGACATGAATCTTGCATTTGAGCGGCTGGCCGAGGGTTTTGAGACGGCACTCAGAGACTACAACAAGAAACAGGTCAGTCGGTCATATGTATACAGTATTGCACACTTTTTTTTTAACACGTTCATAATTGTGAATCAACTGAACGAATGACACCGAGTAGATTCTTGTTCATGAATGTGATGTCTGTTTCAGAGTTGTGTTCACACTGAAAACATTGACTCTTAATTGGAATTTTTTTTAATTAAATAAAAAGCATACAGTGCAAACCAGTGTCATCTGGTTCGCAAACAAATGACTCTTATGAGCCAGTTCTTTTTAGTGAATCAAAAACAGACAGCACAACCAGTGTAGTCCAGTTCACAAACAAGTGTGTCTTATGTGCCATTTCTTTTTTAGTGAAGCAAAGACATACCATACAACTCGTATAGTATGGTTCATGAAAACTGACTCTTATGAGCCAATTCTTTTTAGTGAATCAAAGACATGCCAATTCCTTTTAGTCAGTCAAAGATATGCCACACAACTTGTGTACTGCGATTCATGAACAAATTACTTATATGTGCCAGTTCGTTTTATTGAATCAAAAACATACAGCACAACCGGTGGAGTGTGGTTCACAAACAAATGACTCCTATAAGCCAGTTCTTTTTAGTGAGTCAAAGTCATACCACATAAGTAGTGTAGTACGAAAAACATACAGTACAAGCAGTGTAGTCTGGTTCACAAACAAATTACACTTATGAGCCAGTTCTTTTTAGTGAATAAAAAACATACAGCACAAACAGTTTAGTGTGGTTCATGAACTAATGTCTCTTATAAGACTTTTTTGGTGAATCAGAAACATACAGGTCAAACATTGTAGTCCGGTTTGCAAACAAATGACTCTTATGAGCCGGTTCTTTTTAGTGAATCAGAGACATGTCACACAACCTGTGTACTACGATTCATGAACACATTATTCTTAAGGCCAGTTCTTTTTAGTGAATCAAAAACATACAGCACAACCAGTGTAGTGTGGTTCACAAACAAATGATTCTCATGAGCCAGTTCTTTTTAGTGAATCAAAAATACACTGCACAAACCGTTTAGTGTGGTTCATGAGCAAATTACTTTTATAAGTTTTTTATATAAGTTTAAATTTTTGGTGAATCAGAAATGTACAGGGCAACAATTGTAGTCCGGTTTGCAAAAAATTGACTCTTATGAGCCAGTTCCTTTTAGTGAATGAAAAACATAGTGTAACTTGTTCACAAATAAATGACTCTTATGAGCTGTTTTTAGTGAATCAGAAACATATCAAAGAACCATTGTAGTACGATTTACAAACAAATGATTTTTTATGAGCCCCTATTTTTAGTGAATCAAAAACATGCCATGTGTTGTCCATTTCAGGAACAAATAACTCTTAAGACCCTTTCATTTTGAACAGGAGATTTACATTATTGCAGATACTAAAAGTCTCCAGTCCTTTCTGCTCCTGTATGTAGACCCTTTACTTTTCTAGGTAGCGCTAGACGTTTTTTTCAGGCACAGATAGAGCACATCTAAAGTATGAACGAGGCAATGATGAAGCCGTCGAAAAAACACTCCTGCTTCTTCGTTGTAAGTATGATGAAGTGAATAGTGCTGATCCGTGTAGACTGCCACAAGCATGTCCACATATCGTCCCTGCAGCGTCAGGATCTGTCATCAAGCGCAGGGAAGGTTAGCATGTCCTTGGCCGGCGTTTGAATAATCTGCCTCTTTCCCTTCAAGCCCCTGATTGGAGTCGCTGTCAGACAGCATGGGGTGATAAATGCAGTACAACCTAAGCTGCTTTTACACCAAATACAGGCAGGAAAATTACATCTCATTTGCCTGTCTGTGACAGGGATCCACGGTATCGCCTCTTAACCGCCTCCCCCCAACTCACACACACACACACACACACACACACACACACATATATTGGCCCAGCGCTCTCATTCATATCGTGGGGGGATTTCTCTGATGAACACATGACCCTGAGCCCCTCTCAGCGCAGTTATTACCATCCACTTCTCTCTGGCATGTAAATTGATATAATTACTGTAAGCAGGGGCCACAAAGCTCACTGTATGCTCTCACAAGCCATCATTGTGCCCTCTGAAACTCTAAAATATCTGCCTTGCTTCTCCAGATTGCCCAGCTAAACTCCTTGATAAACATGTTATTGGGGGAACTGAACCCGGGTGACAGGCAGAAGATCATGACCCTGTGCACCATAGATGTTCACGCCAGAGATGTGGTCTCCAAACTCATCGCTCAGAAGGTTGGGTCATGTTTACTGCGCTTCGTAAATAATGATCATGTCGACTAAAGGATGCTCTGTTTCCTTGTTTTAAATCATTTAGTGGTGTTTGGCACTCAGTCATTATTTTAATGGGCTTTAAATTGACAAGCAGTAATTGATTAATTAATTGAGTTGGGAGCATTTAGACTTTTTATCTCTCTTGAAGTACTAGAGTTGTTTTATTAAGTGTTTGAGACCGTTTTTATCATGACCCTGTGCACCATAGATGTTCACGCCAGAGATGTGGTCTCCAAACTCATCGCTCAGAAGGTTGGGTCATGTTTACTGCGCTTCGTAAATAATGATCATGTCGACTAAAGGATGCTCTGTTTCCTTGTTTTAAATCATTTAGTGGTGTTTGGCACTCAGTCATTATTTTAATGGGCTTTAAATTGACAAGCAGTAATTGATTAATTAATTGAGTTGGGAGCATTTAGACTTTTTATCTCTCTTGAAGTACTAGAGTTGTTTTATTAAGTGTTTGAGACCGTTTTTATCCAGGTGAGCAGTGCTCAGGCGTTTGCCTGGGTTTCTCAGCTCCGCCACAGCTGGGATGAGGAGCAAAACCACTGCTTCATCAACATATGTGATGCTCAATTTCGATATTCCTATGAATATCTGGGCAACACGCCTCGTCTGGTCATTACACCTCTTACAGACAGGTAACTTAACAGCTAATGGTTTGGACTAACTAAGCTAAACTAATTTGACATAAATGTTTTTTTTTTTTTTACTTTATTTTTATTTTAGATTTTACAAGAAAATGTATTATGTAGTATTAAGGAAATACAGGGGAAAAAAAACAATCAAACAAATAAAACAATAGAACAAGAGGTATCCACTATATTTTTGTAGTAACACTTTATAATATTAATATTATAACAGATCAGTAGTTCATGTAAATTCCAATTTGCATTTATTAAATATGCATTTATTTAAATTTATAAATAAATTGATTTCTTTAAAATAAATTTCTTTTATTTTTTGAAGAAGAGCATTCTTTTTTTCTTATTTGAAACTTTTTACCATACCTTCAACTGTTGTTTTGGTCTTTTTTAAAATTACCTTTCTTTAGATTTTATTGTTTTACCCTTGTCACAGATAAATTAAAAGTCATTATATAATTATTATTACACTTAAAAATGTTGAAATTATCATTTTTTAAATTATTTTTTTTTATATAAGTTTAAAATATTTTATATAAGATTCCCAAGACCGTAATTTCCACAGTGACTAACAATTAAACCCTTGAAGAAAAATTTTCTTAAAAAAAAGAAAAAGAAAAAATAACACATTGTACTTGGTTAGGGAGAAAGAGTATTGGTAAAGATATTTGGATTTAATTTTAGGCAAGAAATGTAATGGAAACAAAGAAAAATCAAGGTAAATAGTATATTTTTATTGTACATTTTAGCTGTAATTTTGTAAAATTATGCAAAAAAAAGTAATTTTTTTTAAACTATTGCTAAGTGCACATACATACCATGCTAGCCATGAAAATTTCATAATGAAATTAGCTGTAACACATCAGAAGAGCCATTATATAACAAACATGTTTGAAAAGTCATTCCCACCCACATCATTTCCACCACATAATGCAGTTAATCACAAAAACGTACAGTAATTTGAAATGGAAGTGATATGTTTATGACTTTTGAAAAAAAAGTAAAAAGTATGTTTGTTAATGTTATAAACAAGCCTCACCATAACTGTATCTATATATTGTTTGAGGTTGCATTTTTGTAATTGCAGATGCTATATAACACTGACTCAGTCACTGCACTTGACGATGAGCGGTGCTCCAGCGGGACCGGCTGGCACAGGAAAGACTGAAACCACTAAAGACCTGGGCAGAGCTCTGGGGGTCATGGTGTACGTCTTCAACTGCTCTGAGCAGATGGACTATAAGGTAAACATACCAGCAGAAATGGGACTCAGCAACCTCAGGACAATTATGAGTGTATTCTCGCTTCAGATGAGCTCCTAATGCATATAATTACTTTGCCGAATAGGATTCTGCTTCTTAATTGAAAGAAATCGATGAGTGATTGTTTGAAACTTTATCACAGTTGGCTGATGTTTTGTTTTGTGAGTTTTGTCCTTAAATACTGTTGGTTTAGTTCTTTTAAGTTTTTAACGGAGGACGCAGTGAAGTGTTTCCTTCACTTGTGTCATCGTTCAGTCCATAGGGAACATCTTTAAAGGTCTGGCACAAACTGGAGCTTGGGGCTGCTTTGATGAGTTTAACCGAATCACTGTGGAAGTGCTGTCAGTGCTGGCAGTACAGGTGAAGACCATACAGGATGCCATTCGCAACAAGAGGAAGAGGTAAGGTTTCTTTCATTTTTAGATAATCTGAATGGTTCATATGAATTATATAGGCATGTTTTAACTATTGTCCCCTGCAGGTTTCTGTTCCTAGAGGAAGAGATTAGCTTGAAACCCTCTGTTGGGATCTTCATCACAATGAACCCTGTATATGCTGGACAAACTGAGCTGCCGGAGAACCTCAAAGCACTTTTCAGGTGCAGCTTGATTCAAATAAAGATGTTTTTTGTTAATCATTTTATTTATATTTTTTTAACCAGCAAAGGCATTAGCTAAAATGTGTTTATGTAGTGAAAAAATGTTTGACAATATTTTTTTTTAGTCATCGATAAAGATAAATACAGATTTAATAAAGATATATACACACATCATGTATATACAGAAAAAATACAAAATACATACATGTAAGTGAATAAACAGATATTGCATTTACGTTATTTTTTAATGTATATATAATAAATGTGTGCTCAAGTTTGGGAGATTTTTTATTTTAATTTTTTTGAAAAAGTCTCTCATGCCCACCAAGGCGCATTTATTTGATTTGATCAAAAGTATAGTGGGAACAGTAATATTGAAAAATATAGTAGAAATAGTTATATTGTGCTGCTATTTTTGTGAAAACCTTGATACACTTTTTCAATATTTATGATAAATAGAAAGTTACCAAGCAATGATTTTTATGACAATATTAAAGTATTTACTGTCACTTTTAATCACTTTATTGCATGCATCCTTGCTGAATAAAAGTATTAATTTCTTTAAAAAAATCCTACATACCCATATATAAAGTATACATATTAAAGGGGTCATATGACGTTGCTAAAAAATAACATTATTTTGTGTATTTGGTGAAATGAGATGCGTTTATGTGGTTTAAGGTTCAAAAAACACATTATTTTCCATATACTGTACATTATTGTTGCTCCTCTATGCCCCGCCTTTCTGAAACGCGACAATTTTTACAAAGCTCATCGTTCGGAAAAGCGAGGTGTGCTCTGATTGGCCAGCTATCTAGTATGTTGTGATTGGCCGAATACCTCAAGCGTGTGACGGAAGAACATTTGGACGGTGTTATGCAAATCTTCCCACACAGTGATGTAGATGTGGGGGCGTGTTTAAACGAGGCATTTTAGGAGGGTGTGGATGAGTCTTAACTTTTATAAAGAATATATCTTTGGGTTTGAGACTTTAGTCTTTGCAACTTTAGGGATCTTATCTATTCACGAACAGCTTGTAACACTCCAAAGAGAAAGGAAAACTTGAAATCGCATCATATGACCCCTTTAAACAATCTCTAATTATTAACTACATATTTAATACGTTTTACTTTTTTATTTTTTGGAATGTTGTTAATATTATAATTATCAGTTGATATTATAATTATGGACAACTGAAATGTTAGTTTGACCAACAAAAGAATTTAGTAAAATGAACTTTAATTAATATAACATGACAAACAAAGTAAAAGCCTAGATTTAAGCTGTTTGCACCAGCTGACCTAACACATTGTATCAGATTGTATTTAATGTCACATGTAAAACAGATGATGTCATTTCTTTAAACGCTGTATCAGCATTGTATAGAGGAGTTCATGAATGTGTTTGGCAGGCCGTGTGCAATGGTGGTTCCTGACGTGGAGCTGATCTGTGAGATCATGTTGATGTCTGAGGGATTTCAGAGCGCTCGGGTTCTGGGCAACAAGTTCATCACCCTCTACAGGCTCTGTAAGGAGCTGCTCTCTAAACAGGTACGCTGAGCTAAGAGTTAAGGTGCCACTTGTCCTGTTTGTGCCTGCTTTTGAACTACATGTATATTCTCTGCTGTAGGATCACTATGACTGGGGACTGCGTGCTGTCAAACCTGTCCTGGTGGTTGCTGGAGCTCTCAAAAGAGCAGATCGAACAAGGCCAGAAGATCAAGTAATGGAAATTTGTTTATGTGCTTGATGCATAGTAGGGTTGGGCCGATAGACGATGACATCGTCCATCGCCGATGGCTGATAGACATCACGATGTTGAGCCGGCATCGTGATCCCCAACCCCCATTCCCCCCGCATCCCAATACCGTGTTCGGAAAGAAAATGACGTGTAGGCGGAACCCCTAAAGGGAATAAATATGAGATGGGAGGAAAATATATATTTCAATATTTTTCCTCGCAGTTGTATAATTGGGTAATTATACTACATGTATATTTCGGCATTAGGGAGCCGCTATTATACCTGGCATTGAAACTGGCATCGTGCTTTTGAATGCACGATCGCTTTTAGTTTCACTTTCGAGATTCTCGATCGCACGTACTCTGTTTATACTATGGAGCGGCAGTACTTGCCACACATTTGACAGAGATTTACAAGATTCTGCAAATCATTCACCATCGTCCTCAGTCATCTCTCATTACTCTGTTTATGTGGTAAGTGTGCCGCTCGTGTCCGGCGTAGACACGGTGTTAGGAATTGTGTTTTCCCTTATAAGGATTCACTCTTCGGGCACACCCCCTAACTCTTCCCCCTCCCCC